TGTTTAGTTTAACTTAGAGGAAAGGCAAGGACATGATAGAAGTTTTCAAAATGATACATGGCAAGGAGAAAATGGATAGAGGAAAGTTTTTCCTCCCTCTTTCATCATAACACTAGAACTCAATGGAGCTGAACGTTGGAAGATTCAGGACAGAGAAAAGAAATTATCTCTTTATACAGTGCATTGTTAAACTATGGAACTCACGGCCACAGGAAGAAGAAGAAGAGGAGTTTGGATTGATATCCCGCCTTTCACTCCCTTTAAGGAGTCTCAAAGCGGCTAACATTCTCCTTTCCCTTCCTCCCCACAACAAACACTCTGTGAGGTGAGTGGGGCTGAGAGACTTCAGAGAAGTGTGACTAGTCCAAGGTCACCCAGCAGCTGCATGTGGAGGAGCGGAGACGTGAACCCAGTTCACCAGATTGCTAGACTACCGCTCTTAACCACTACACCACACTGGCTCTCAGTAATGGCAACCAACTTGGATTGCTTTTAAAGAAGATTAAGCCGAGGGCCTTCTGGCAGTTCCTTCACTGCAAGAAGTGAAGCTACAGGGAACCAGGCAGAGGGCCTTCTCAGTAGTGGTGCCCGCCCTGTGGAACACCCTCTCATCAGACATCAAGGAAATAAACAACTATCCGACTTTTAGAAGACATCTGAAGGCAGCCCTGTTTAGTGAAGTTTTTAATGTTTGATGTTTTATTGTGTTTTTAATGTTCTGTTGGGAGCCCCCCAGAGTGGCTGGGGAAACCTCAGCCAAATGGGTGGGGTATAAATAATAATAATAATAATAATAATAATAATAATAATAATTATTATTATTATTATTATTATTATTATTATTATTATTATACAAATTCATGGAGGAGAGGGCTATTGATGGCTACTAGCCAGGATGTCTATGCTCCGCCTCCACCATCAGAAGCAACAATGCTTTTGAATACCAGTTTCTTGAAAACCCAGGAGGGGAGAGTTGCTCTTGTGTTTGAATCCTGCTTGCAGGTTTCCCATTGGGGCATCTGGCTGGCCACTGGGAGCACAGGATCCCGGACTATATGGGCTCCCTTTGGCCTGATCCAGCAGGCTCTCCTTATGTTTTAATGCTCTTATGACATACGCTAGGCAGGGGAAATGAGGACTTGTGGGTTTGGAGGTGGCGGAGGGGCGAGTCCGTTGACCTCTGAGCGAATAATCTGAACGGGAGGGCTCAGCCCAGAATATAATGTCAATGTTAGCCGGAAACCTGTGAAGTAGCGAAAATCATAACAGCACTTGCCATATTTTTGCAGTGTCAAATGATATTTCAAACACATTATCTCTGCAACACCTAAGTGGCTCTCCACTCTGGGATGAAATTACTCTCCCTCTATTACTGATGCAGAGCCGAGGGACAATTATCTAGCTGGTGAAACTGTAACTCATTGAAATCCATAGGGTCTACTCACAAGGTAGTAACCCTCTGCTTGCCATGAAGTTCATCAGAGGAAATGTACAGCCCTCTCCACCGCAAATCCACTGCTTTATTGTCAGGATAAAATCAGGCAAGCATACTTGGGTGCTTTTCAGCTAAGTCACGCTCAGAGTAAAGGGCCTAAGTTGGTCCTCACTGTTATTTTCAGTGGGTCTTCTCTGAGTAGGACTAACAATGAAGGCAACCCTTACTGCCTATCTGTCTTGCTGGGGATTTCCTGCTTCCTAGCTCAGTCTATCTGGCTACTAAGCTGTAGAAGCTCTGTGCAGGGGGGGAAACCACCAAGAGTGCACCAGAGCATGTGCAAAGTGCATCACCCGGCACCACATACATGCTAGAATGAAGGGTCAGCACGGCCAGCAGTCAGGGATGATGGGAGAATCGAGCTACATCTGGAGGACCACATGTCCCCCACCTCTGGTTCAGAAAAGACACCTGTGTACATTAGAAATAGATGCCGAAAAGAGATTGCACAAACTGACTCATAATTAAATGCATATTTTTAAAATGTATATTGCTACTCCCTGCCCCCCTTTTTTCTCTCCGTGTCCACTTCTGCTTCTTTCTCCCCCTCCATCTTCTCCTGCATCTCCCCCCACCCCACGCTCTGTTGCTATGGCAACCACCGGCTGGGCAACACACAGGCATCCCAGGGTGATGGGCTGCTGAGATGCCTTAGTGGATGGAGAAAAGAAGAAGAAGGAGAGAATCTAATAGCAATATGTCTCTGGCTCCTGCTCCCCCCCCCTCCCATGGCATCAGCCCACGTGCTAGTGTGGCTCAGCTATTAATATGATGCGCAGATCAAGAAAACGGTTTATTTTTATGTCTGTGCAATTTTAAGGCCGCTCTCTGAGCAGGGGAGGGAGGAGGGGGATGAATCACCTTAGCAGCTCCAGAGAGAAATTTCAGGGTGGGGAGGGTGGGGGGGAAACTCAGGAAATCAGGAGGGGCTTGGGATCATAAACGGGCGCTTGATCACGGGGATTGTGGCTAATCCTAAAATAGCTCCATGCCTCCCTTCACCTTAGCAGATCTCTGTGTGGCTATTTATTAATGTAGGTACTTATTTTCTTACATATACATCCCACAGTTTGTCCATCAGAGAACATGGGGTCCTGGGTGGGCCACCCATCCAGGCACTGACCAGGCCCTGATCATCTTAAGGCCTTCCCTATCTTGAAACCATTATCACTGGAACCAAAAACCAGTAGAAAGAGAAACGCACCTTTGCGCATGCTCAGAGGAACTTTACTGAAGGAGCGTCTCCACCCCCATCGTTCTGCCCGGACGCTGAGATACAGCACCGAGGGCCTTCTGGTGGTTCCCTCATTGCGAGAAGCAAAGCTACAGGGAACCAGGCAGAGGGCCTTCTAGGTAGTGGCGCCCACCCTGTGGAACGCCCTCCCATCAGATGTCAAAGTGATAAACAACTACCTGACATTCAGAAGACATCTTAAGGCAGCCCTGTCAGGGAAGTTTTTAATGTGTGACATTTTAGTGTATTTTTGGTCTCTGTGGAAGCCGCCAGAGTGGCTGGGGAAACCCAGCCAGATGGGGCGGGGGTACAAATAATAAATTATTATTATTATTATTATTATTAATTATTATTATTATTATTATTATTAATGGTGACGATGAGTTGGCATGTACAATGCACAGGCTTAAATATTCAAACCCCCACTCAACAATGACACAGACTGGATGGTTTTGAGGCATCCCACCTTACAGATTTCTCATGAAGATGGAATCATAGAATTGTAGAGTTGGAAGGGACCACGAGGGTCATCTAGTCCAACCCCCTGCAATGAAGGAATCTTTTGCCCAACGTGGGGCTCAAACCCACAACCCTGAGATTAAAAGTATCATGCTCCAACCGGCCGAACCATTCCAGAGGTGATGTTTAAAACCCTGAATGACACAGGGCCCCAAATACCTGAAAGATGACCGCCTTCGAGGACAGACCCTCTCGGGTGCTGAGATCTGTAGAGAGGGCCCTCTTGGTTGTTCTTCCACCCTCAGAAGTTTGGGGTAGTGGTGACCTGAGAGAGGGGCCCCTTAATTGTCTAACTCCTTGCCCCATGGAGGTGCATCAAGCCCCTTAACGACGCAGCTTTTGGCTGAAGACACATCTCTTCACCCTGGCTTTTGACTCTTGAGATGTATATTTTCAGAACATGCCTTATTTTGTAATTTTCAGTTGTTTAAAACGGTTTTAAATATTGTGTAAAACTGAACTTTTAAATTATTGTTGTTTTTAATTGTTGTAACCTGCCCTAGGTCCTCAGGATGGGGGGGTAATGAAGTGTGTGGTAATAATAATAACTGTATAGAATTGCACTGTTAAACATATAAATGAATTTCAATTTTAATATATTTAAATTATATTTATATGTATACCCATGCACACACACTTCATTTAATATGTCATGCCCTATATCTGAATGAAAATGTGAAAGAGGGGGAAATGATATGTAAAGGGTTTAAAGGTGTGTAGGAGAGAAGCACTTTGGAACGCGGAGACAAATTGCTTGATAACATTTTCCATAAAACGAAAAAAAAAAACCTGCACCCACTCTTATCCCTGGTGTGTGCAAAAACGAGAGGAACGGCTGACCAAAACAGAGGTACTGTATCACCCGATAAATTAACTGACAGGTCTACTCAGGAGTAAATCCCAATCGCTGGTTTCAAGGTAAATGCACGATGCAAGGCTGCAGTTCGTTAACCATTTCGGGGGGGGGAGCAGAAAAATTGGTGCGGTCCGATCCCCTGCACGTTTACTCGAAGTAAGCGCCCCTGTGCTCAGTGGAGTACCCTATGTGACTAGGCACGGGTTGCAGCCGGCACCTTTTTGAAGGACTTGTTCTGCGTAAGCCTGCAACCCTAAATCCGCTTACCTGGGAGTAAGCCCCCCTATGTCTCTTACTCCTGGAGTAAGGTTACAGAAGGTAGCTTCTTTCACTTACTTCCAGCCAAAACACATGCTGCGTGATTTGATTGCATTTATACAGGGAGACCAGCCTCCACCCACTCCCCCATTGCTGGGGGTGAGACTAAATGACCATTTTTGTTCATTCCAATTCTTTAAAAAAAAAAAAATTATGATTCCAAGCTGACAAAATCAGCTTGACACCCTCCCCATTCACAAGTTCTTAAGCCACTCCTCTTCCTCCTCCCTACCCTCCTCCCTATTGGCCGCGGGCCGAGGAGCTCCGCCCCTTTCGAACGTTGCGTATCCGGCTTCGAAGGACCCGGCAGCAGCTCTGCCCGCTGCCTCCCCCACCTCGCCCCCACGTGGGCCTTGCAAAGGGGAAACTAAGGTAAAGGCGGGGAGGGGGGAGGTCTTGGATCAATGGACTAGCTGGTCCGGTCCATTCTTCAGTGAGAGGCCTGGGAAGGAGTCCCGCCCACTCTTGGTGGAGGAGAGGGACTAATGGGGTAATAAGGGAGAAAAGGGGAGTCCCCCCAGGGTGCTGCTTCGCACCGAGTCAGACCACCCCCGGCGCTTCTAGCTCAATATTGCCTACATTGACTGGCAGTTGTAGCTCTCCGGGATCTTCAGGCACTTCCAGCCCTCCCACTGAGGAATCGAACTTGGGAAGTTCCGCATGCAAAGCAGCTTCGCCGCCGCTGAGCACGGCTCATTTTTCTTTTGCAGTTGCAGCTCCGGCTTGCTTCTGAAAGACAGCCTGTCATCCGAAGGGGCAGTCGTCAGCGTGGCGTGGGTGATTGTGTGCGTGTGTCCCACGGTGGGCTGGCTCGATCCAAATGCCACAGGCCAGACTGTAAACACCTAAAGTGGAACTGGTTCGATTTTCGGATGCATCTTAAAGTCAGCTTAAATAGGAAAAGCTCCCTGCAAGGAGAAAAGTAGCAAGGGAGCCAAGTGAACCCTTTTGCCCCATCTGCTAGCTTTCCGCTTGCAGGGTTTGCTTGTTTCCCACAGAGATCCAACACAAGTGAAAGGTGGCACAGCAGAGAGAGAGAGATCTCCACCTCGGTCATCTTTACCACCTCAGGTTGGGAGGCCAGAGAAGGCGAAAGTGAGGATTCCTGTACCCTTGTTGTTGTTGTTTAGTTGTTTAGTCGTGTCCGACTCTTTGTGACCCTGTGGACCAGAGCACGCCAGGCACTTCTGTCTTCCACTGCCTCCCGCAGTTTTGGTCAGACTCATGTTTGTAGCTTCGAGAACACTGTCCAACCATCTCATCCTCTCTCACCCTTCTCCTTGTGCCCTCCATCTTTCCCAAACATCAGGGTCTTTTCCAGGGAGTCTTCTCTTCTCATGAGGTGGCCAAAGTATTGGAGCCTCAGCTTCACGATCTGTCCTTCCAGTGAGCACTCAGGGCTGATTTCCTTCAGAATGGATGCGTTTGATCTTCTTGCAGTCCATGGGACTCTCAAGAGTCTTCCCCAGCACCATAATTCAAAAGCATCAATTCTCCGGCGATCAGCCTTCTTTATGGTCCAGCTCTCACTTCCATACATCACTACTGGGAAAACCATGGCTTTAACTATACAGACCTTTGTTGGCAGGGTGATGTCTCTGCTTTTTAAGATGCTGTCTAGGTTTGTCATTGCCTTTCTCCCAAGGAGCAGGCGTCTTTTAATTTCGTGACTGCTGTCACCATCTGCAGTGATCATGGAGCCAAGAAAGTAAAATCTCTCACTGCCTCCATTTCTTCCCTTTCTATTTGCCAGGACCCTTACACAAGTATTAAAGGTGCAAAGGGTCCTGTTCTCTGTTTCACCTTTGCCCCATGACTCTGCTCCCTCATTCGGCTGTGTGTATCTGGCCACATGCTGTCGTGCCTACGTTACACGACAATGCGGTAACCACAACTGAGCTTCAAAACTGTCATGCAGGCCAAAGATCTGTCTAATCCAGCATAAATTAAATTCTCATATATCTCATAATAATGAGATAAATTTAGGACCATTTCTGCAACAAGTGCTCATTTTCCAAAAATTATATCCTGTACTTTTCCCCTCCTCTGGGGCCTACTCCCTGGTATTTTATCTGTGTTGTTTTAACTGAGACTCGGTCGGGCAAAAAAGCAAGATATAAAAAGTAATTTATATCTCTCACCTTATATTGTGTGACAGATTTTGCCTCCTGACAACACCTCTCCTAAGACCATCAGTACCTATTTCTGCCCAGAGGACCAATCATGGCTGGAAGAGGCGGCAGAGGGAGGGGCGCGGTGGTCACATGACCTTCAACGTTGAAGCTGTGGGCATCGGAAAGGGGGAGGCTCTGCCCCCACCCACCCTCCAACCATCCCCACTGTTTCCTGTGAGTCTGGATTGCTTTTTCTTAATTTCTCCCCCTTTTTTATTATATTTATTACATTCCATATCAAACGTGTATTACCAAAGCAATGTTGATTTAAAAACATACTGTAAATAAAATAGGTTATATAAAACAATGAATGCTCTAAAGGAAGCTGTAGTATTGAATATTATAGTAGATCAAATATTATGTTAAATAGAATATTTTTAATCCTACCAGTAGAATATATTGTGCTTTAAATAAACGTAACCTGAATCCTGAAATACTGTTCATAGGGTAGCTGCGTGGTGTTATTTCTATTTATACTGTAATCCATTTTACATTTTTTATTAATTTGATCTTGCCAGGGGGTGGGGTGAGCAGGGTTGTCTAGAAAAATCAGACATATTAATTTATCCAATAAAATTATCCGTATTTATTGCATTTATAAGGAGCTCAAGGTGGAGTACATGGTTCTCTCCCTTTCCCATTTCATCCCCCAACAACCCTGTGAGGCGGGTTACCTTATTGTGTCTCTTTGCCTCTCCCCGTACAGCCCTTAGAATATAAACCTGTTCCACTGCAAACGGGAGAGGAGGTTGAATACATGTTGGCCCTGAAACAAGAACTGAGGGGTGCTATGAAGAACCTGCCGTACTTCATCAAGCCTTCTGCACCAAAGAAAGGTAAAACAACAACAACACAACAACCGTAAAAGCCCACCAGCCAAGAAGAATGCAGAATTCCTCCTCTGCTAGGAGGACAGTAAAACAGCTGACCCACCTCTTAAATATCAAAGGGTAAAAATAGTTTGTCATCTTTTAATCGCTACCCCACCCCATAGATTGGCTGACCTGTTTCGGAGTCACAGAACGTTCACCGATGGGAATTTTGGGTTTGTTTTTTTGAAGGAGGGGGGTCAGCCATGAATGTTGGAAGTCATAAGAACATAAATAGAGCCTGCTGGATCAGGCCAATGGCCCATCTAGTCCAGCATCCCAGTGGCCAACCAGATGCCCTAAACACAAGAGCCCTTTCCCTTCCAGTGGTTTCCACCAGCTGGCATTTGCTCTGGAGGCAGAACATCGTCATCATGGCTAATAGTCATTGGTATCCTACTCCTCCGTGAATTTGCCTAATCCTGTTTTAAGGCCACCCAAGTTGTTGGTCTATTCCCAGAGCAGTTTTCACAATCAATGCCTCTTTCCCAGGGAACTCTGGGTATCCCAACTCTTGGCACCCTTAACAAACTACAATTCCCATGATTCTTTGGGGAAAGCCATGGCTGCTTCAAGTGGTATCATCGTGCTTTGAATGTACGGTGCTCATGTGACCTGTATCATCTGGCAGCATCATTCCCAGGCCTTGCTGTGAGGATTGAGCAATGACAGGCAAACGGGAGCAGATTCACTCCCATTTTTCAACCCCTCCTTTCAGTGTGGTGTAGTGGTTAAGAGCGATAGACTCATAATCTGGGGAACCGGCTTCGCGTCTCCGCTCCTCCACATGCAGCTGCTGGGTGACCTTGGGCTAGTCACACTTTCCTGAAGTCTCTCAGCCTCACTCACCTCACAGAGTGTTTGTTGTGGGGGAGGAAGGGAAAGGAGAATGTTAGCCGCTTTGAGACTCCTTCGGGTAGTGATAAAGCGGGATATCAAATCCAAACTCTTCTTCTTCTTCTCCACCTCCCTTGTTTCTTAGCTGTATCACCTCTCGGTCTCCTCTTTTCCAGGCTGAGCATACCCAGATCCCTCAACCATTCCTCATAAGGCTTGGTCTCCAGACCTTTCGCCACCTTCATCACCCTCCTCTGCACATGTTGTTATAGGCAGGTGCATCCCGGAGATATTGCAAAATCCCCCCAAGACAAGTTTCTCTGGGTTGTAAAATCCTTCTCATCTGTGGTGTCATATACATGTTGTTAACCTGAGGCCACCTGGTGTCATCAGTGTGTGCAAACCCAGTGACTCTAAACCCCAAATCTCTCTAAATTTCAGGATTCCTAGATCCCTATCGAGTGGCTGGTTTTCACTGGCCTAAAGCCAGCTTCAGGTTATGTTGACAAGAGGTCATTGGCCAAGCTGATATTAAACACAGATCTGTGTTCAGCGGAGCAGAGCAGAGATCTTCTGCTGTGATCCACCAGCCTGGGCGACCTTCTTGGTCGGAGAAGCCCAGAGAAGAGGATCATAAGATGCGATGGGCATCTTCCCTCTGTGGGCTTTCAGGAACTGTTCATTCATTCTTCAACAAACATATTTTTTAATTCCAGGCTCTGGTTTCACTCGTAGGATCAAGGCTCTTTGAGCTCCACAGTGACCACTTGAGGAATTGGATACTGGGCACACAAAAAATGAGGATCAAGAACTTTCTTCTTCTTTTGAAAGCACACTTCTGGGGTCTCTAAATAGCCCTGAGAATATGTGGGTAGCACCTGGTGGGAAATATCAGTGGCTAGATTGGGAACAGGGTTTTCTGGAAACTGCACAAGGGGAAGAGCATTGCTGCTGTTCTTCTCTTCCCAGGAGTGTTTGGTTGAGCACAGTGAGAGCAGGAGGCTGGACTAGATGGGCCATTGGCCTGATCCAGTGGGCTCTTTTATGTTCTTTTGTTGTTCTGAGGATGCTGGAGACCGTTAGAACAGGCTTCCTCAACCTTGGCCCTCCAGATGTTTTGAGACTACAATTCCCATCATCCCTGACCACTGGCCCTGCTAGCTAGGGATCAAGGGAGTTGTAGGCCAAAAACATCTGGAGGGCCGAGGCTGAGGAAGCCTGCATTAGAACAAAACCTGTGTCGACTCATAAGAGCAGAGAGGTAAGGGGAGGAATAAGGTAGGGCCTGTTGGATATGGGGGCAAGTAGGAGGCAGCTTTGGGGTGTAAAGAGGGCCGGCCCATGAAGAGAACCACAAGTTAGCCACACCAGGTTTAGTCAAGTCCCTACATCTGTGTCTGGGTTGGTAGAATCATAGAATCATAGAGTTGGAAGAGACCACAAGGGCCATCGAGTCCAACCCCCTGCCAAGCAGGAAACACCATCAGAGCACTCCTGACATATGGTTGTCAAGCCTCTGCTTAAAGACCTCCAAAGAAGGAGACTCCACCACACTCCTTGGCAGCAAATTCCACTGTCGAACAGCTCTTACTGTCAGGAAGTTCTTCCTAATGTTTAGGTGGAATCTTCTTTCTTGTAGTTTGGATCCATTGCTCCGTGTCTGCTTCTCTGGAGCAGCAGAAAACAACCTTTCTCCCTCCTCTATATGACATCCTTTTATATATTTGAACATGGCTATCATATCACCCCTTAACCTTCTCTTCTCCAGGCTAAACATGCCCAGCTCCCTTAGCCGTTCCTCATAAGGCATCGTTAGGTAGAATGGCTTGTTTCTTGAAACCTGTCTGCATCCTGTATTTTCCAGATGTGGAACGCTATTCCGACAAGTATCAGATGTCCACTCCTGTTGACAATGCCATTGAGTGGAGTCCTGGTAAGTCGGAGAATATTTTATTTAGTTGTATTTATTTGGATATTTGCACATCCCACACCAGCCTCAAGGGCTCCTTTCCCCCCTTGCCTTAAATATATTGGAAGATATTTATATATCATTTTCCATTACAAAAAAACCCCAAAAACAAATACAAGTACAAATTGGTGAAAACATACCATGAAACAGTAAAAGCGACATAGAAACAGATGAGACGTAAGTTGCATGCAGGGTGGAGCCGTTGAAATTAATCAACCTAAGTTAGTCATTATTTGCGAGGTGGTTTGGAGGGTACAGTTGCATTCCATATGCATCATCCCATTACAGCCCTTACAACAAACTTGTGAGTTAGGCTGATGTTATTACCCCCATATTAGCAGTGGGCACTGAAGGGCCAAGGTAGGATCCTGTCTCCCCACCCCACATTATTCCCCCAGCCCACCTTGCCAACAGAAATGAACGAGACCTGTGTAGAGTATACACAGATAGAGTTCCCTGCTTAGAGCACAAGGCAAAATTCCGACTTAGGGGTGTGTTTTTTTGGGGGGGGAAGATTTTTTTGGGGGTAAATAAATGGTGTTATTAGGAATTTTGAATGGCTCTGAAGTACAGAAGTGGTGGATTTTATAAGAAAATCCAGCCGGACCTTCCACGTGTGCCCAGGTAGTTAAATTTTGCTTGGCTATTTATTTTTGCAGATTGGAAACAGCTACCCCAAGAATTAAAGATCCGGGTGCGGAAGATTAAAAAGCAGAGTAAGTACTTCTCCGTGTTCAAGCTAAAGTCAGAACAGCAGCAACAGAAACCCCCCTTTCCTGACTTTTACGCTTTCGCACCCCACAATCGCCCAGGTGCAGAACAGGGATTTGACCCTTCATCTCTGCGACTCAAATGGCAGCACTCTGCTCACCCAGCTCTTAAGTATCTGCATCCAGTAGGCCCCCACCACTGGTTTAGGAAGCAATGTGCGCACACTATCAGCCACAATCCATATCTATCCTGTTGAGAAAAGCTGCCTTTTCATCTCCCCGCAAGCAAGCCAGCTTTGATCTGATTTGAAGGCGTAAGCCTTATTTCTTTCTTGCATTTATATATTCCTTTTTTAATAAAAGGTTTTATGTATACTTTTCAGGTTTATACATTTTATTAGTTTTACAATCAATTTAACATTTCAAAGTTTGACTTCCTTCCCCTCTTTCTGTGGTTCCTTAAATTTATTTTTAAATATTTTTTGCATATCCAAATTGGTTTAATTTGCTCATTTTTATTATCTACTTTAAATATATACTCATATGAAATTGCACGTGATTACAATAATCCTGCCAATGTTCTTATCTGTTTACAATTTATCTGTAAATAAATAAATCAAGATAAGAGTTTGTTATCTTGATTTCTTATTCTTCCGGTAAGTTTTGCCATTTCTGTATATTCCATAAGTTTTTGTATCCATTTTTCCTTTGCTGGGACTTCTGCTTCTTTCCACTTTGGGGCAAGTAGCATTCTTGCTGCTGTAGTTGCATACCTAAATAAATTTCTATAGAATTTAGGTAGTTCTGTCCCTATAATTCCCAAAAGAAAAGCTTCTGGGCTTTTTTTTAAACAAACGTTATTTTGAACAGCCTTTTCAATTAATTGTATATCATTTCCCATTTATATATTCCACCTTTTTCTCCAAGGAGCTCAAGGTGGCGTACATAGTTCTCATTCCCCCTCCCCCCATTTTATCCTCACAACAACCCTGTGAGGTAGGTTAGGTTGAGAGTGAGTGACTGGCCTCAAATCACTCTAACCACTGCACCACACAGCCTCTATGAAGACAGCCATGCCCCCTCCCCACCCGCTGGTGTGTGGACAGACAGCAACTTGGAAACACACACCCAGCTGTGTACAGTGTGCAAATGCGATTTGAAACAGAGGGGGTGGAAACAGCCCCACCACGTTTTAAGCCGGTAAGGTGTGCACAGCCTAAGGCTCTGCCCACTGTACCATGCTGCCTCTGACAGTTTACAAGGGTTCTTTCCCGTAAAAACCCATTTAGCTTTTCCTGAATTGCCCAAGTCCCCATTTACGCAGCTTACTGTTCAGTTTTATGGGGAATTTAGTGACAAATTTCCGCTCAGAATTCCCACACCCTTTCCCGGTTTAATCCTCAGCGAGATGAGTTCAGACAGGCAGAGTTTGCTACCCTTTTGAAGATTGCTGAGGCTTCTGTAAATCCAAGGTGGGAAAAAGTCTTGTAACTGGCAAGCAGGGCCTGAGAGAACCTTCTGCCCTTGATGCCAACCTTGGTGCAGAAATGATCACGTTAAGAGGATGTCCTTGGTTGGTGGGTCTTCAAAATGGAAGGGTGAGGGAGAAGATGGTGGTCTCTTGGGTATGATGGGCCTAACCTTACTAGGATTTTATAAATTGCCACTTTTCAAAGTTTTCTGCCCCTGCCACATTAATGTGCCAAAGAACCCCTGTGTGTTGCAGAGGATTCTGGGACATGCCATGGCTTTCGGTTAAGCAGATGAACCCAGAACCCTCATTTTTGCCCCTAGTGAGCTGAGAGGCCACATTCGCACCATATATTTTAAGCACTATGATACCACTTTAGGTAGTTGTGGGTTCCCCCTGAGAATTCTGGGAGCTGTAGTTTGTTTAAGGGTGCTGAGGAGGCCACAAATTCCCCACAGAGCTACGATTCCCAGACTTCCCTGAGAAGAGGGGTTGATTGTTAAACCACTCTGGGAATTGTAGCTTCGGGAGGGGAACAGTGAAAATGTCGAGATGTTTCCCATGGTTGATTGTGGGAGCCTTATTATTTAAAATATAAACTGAGGTGATTTTTAAGTGTGTGTGTGTGTGTGTGTGTGTGTGTGTGTGTGTGTGTATATATATATATATATAATTTTCTGGCTGTTTATATTATCAGTATGTGTGTATTGAGCTGTTGAATGTTTTGGAGGCCTTGACTCTTCATTGCTCTTTGTGGTCCTTTGTTGTGAACTGCTCTGGAATGTTTTGTATTTAGGAACTGTTGACCACACAAGTAGGCAAGATAGCCAGCTCCTTGAATTATGCCTGGGGGGAAATGGGCAGCCTTCAGGAGATGTTGGTGTGCTGATGTAAATGTATGCAAGGGCTGTAGGGCATCTTTTGTGTGCAGAAGGTAATGGGTTCAATCCCCAGTGGCGTCTCCCAGTAAGACTGGGAATGTCCCAGGTGGACTAATGGTCTGGCTTTGGTACAGAAGCAGCTTCCAGCATTTATCCTGCTGTCCTCTCTCTGTGGTGTTAACTTGATGGTCTCTTTTTGGTACAGGAGCCACCGTCCTTGCCCCCAGGCGCAAAACTCAGTTGCCAGTAGACAAAGAAGAAGCCATCAAGAAGCTGGAGGTAAGAACATAAGATGAGCCTGCAGGATGAGGCCTATGGCCCTCTGGTCCAGTATCCTGTTCTCACAGGGGCCAGTCAAATGCCTCTGAGAAGCCCACAAGCAGGACTCAAAGACAAGAGCACTTTTTGCCCTCCTGTAGTTTAAAGCAACTGGCTTTCAGAAACATTAAGGATGAAGAGGTGTGTCTTCTGCATTCTCCAAAAGCTGTACAGTGAAGGTGCCAGACGGACCTCTGTAGAGAGGGAGTTCTGCAGTTTAGGGGCCACCACAGAGAAGACCTCTTGGAGCATAACCACCACCCCTGAGCTTCTGAGAGCAGAGGAGCCACCAAGAGGGCTGTTCTGTAGGAAGGAAGGCAGTCTTTCTGATATCTGGGCCTGCATTGTTCAGGGCTTTAAAGACTACCGTGAACAACCAGTGTAGCTGTTTTAGAACAGGGGGTAAATCAGAATTGTAGAGTGGGGAGGGCCTCCAGGGGTCATCTAGTCCAACCCCATGCAATGCAGGAATCACAGCTGAAAAATCCCCGACAGTGGCTCCTGTATTTATAAACAATCCAACCTCTTGTTTATAAATCACCAATGAAAGAGAGCCCAACTTTCCTGGGTCATCTGTTCGACTGTCAAACAGCTCTAACCGCAGGATTACCGTATATGTGAGATCTAAACGGAACCCCAGCCACTAATCTGACTGCTGTATTTTGGACCAAATGAAGTTTCATCTTGAATCAACCAGAGGCGGTGAGATCCACTGCAAGTCGGGAGTGAGTTATATATACAGTGGTACCTCAGGTTAAGTACTTAATTTGTTCCGGAGGTCCGTTCTTAGCCTGAAATTGTTCTTAACCTGAAGCACCACTTTAGCTAATGGGGCCTCCTGCTGCCGCTGTGCCGCCAGAGCACGATTTCTGTTCTCATCCTGAAGCAAAGTTCTTAACCTGAGGTAATATTTCTGGGTTAGCGGAGTCTGTAACCTGAAGCATATGTAACCTGAAGCGTATGTAACCCAAGGTACCACTGTAATAGGATGGAGAACAGGAGGCCGAATCAAGACCCAGTTCGTGTGATGGTTCCTTTGGGTCCCAGATCCTGTTCTCAGCGCTAGGAGTCTTCCCTTGAAATTGTGATATAATAAGCTTGTGTTTTAATACTTTTCAATTGTTTCCTAGACTTTGGAAAAGAAAGAGGAGGAGGTGACGTCTGAAGAGGAAGAGGAGAAAGAAGAGGGAGAAGAAGGGAAGGAAGAGGAGGAGGAGGAATACGACGAGGAAGAATTTGAGGAGGTATGGAGGACAAAAATCAACGGAGCAAAAATCAGAAACACAGACCTGTCTTTGGCAAGAGGTTCAACCTGCCGTTTCTCCGAGTTGAGGGGTTCAGGCTTCCCTCCCTGCACAACCCCCGCTTGCTAACGCCACCACAGGACTTCTTTCCTTAGCTAAAAAAGTGTGTTTCGGTGCCATCCCAAAAAGGTTTCTCTGCTCCCTAAAATTCTGAGAGGCATCCAACTGGGATCCATTTGGCAGGAGGGTTTTGGATATCTGCACTTTTTAAAGCTGAGAAATCAGTGTTGACCAGTGAATTCAAGGCACGAGATACAGTGGTACCTCAGGTTAAGTACTTAATTCATTCCGGAGGTCTGTACTTAACCTGAAACTGTTCTTAACCTGAAGCACCACTTTAGCTAATGGGGCCTCCTGCTGCTGCCGCGCCGCCAGAGCACGATTTCTGTTCTCATCCTGAAGCAAAGTTCTTAACCTGAAGCACTATATCTGGGTTAGCGGAGTCTTTAACCTGAAAGGTATGTAACCTGAAGCGTATGTAACCTGAGGTACCACTGTATTCACATTTTGTTTCCTTTAAAAAAAAAAAAAAGAGTGCGCTTCTAGTCCTTAAGGATAAGCTAGAAAGTGTGTGGGCCACATCTGATGAAACCTTGGAAAGCCAGGATGTCGAAAACATGTGGAGGGGCACCAGGTTCATAGAATCAGAGAACTATAGAGTTGGAAGGGTTCCCCAAGGGACATCTAGTCCAACCTACTGCAATGCAGGAATCACAGCTAAAAATTCCTGGCAGGTGGCCATCCAACCTCTGTTTAAAAATCTCCAATGAAGGAGAGTCCACCACCTTCTGAGGTGGCCCATTCCACGGACAAACAGCTCTTAACCTCAAAAAGGTTTTCCTAATGTTGAGTGGGAATCCCCTTGTTATTTGAACCTGTTGGTTTTTAGCGAAAGCTTGTTCTAAACTGTCATCTCCGCTGCCTCCATTTATTCTTCTTCAACAGGAGACGGATTACATCATGTCCTACTTCGACAATGGTGAAGATTTCGGGGGCGACAGCGACGACAACATAGATGAAGCCATATACTGAACGAGGTGGCCCACCCGGTTTGCAGACAGGGAGGTGCGTCTCACAAGCGCCCCAAACATCTCTCCCCCACTGAGGAGCCTTTTCTGCTGCCCCTTTGGGGTCCTTGGATGGACAAGCTGTGTCTCACTTAGGATGGGCTCCTGCTTGGTTTCTGTGGGGCCCCTTCACAAGCGGAACCTGCCGGGACGTCTGCTCATTCGGCCTCTAGGTGGCATCGCTGATCCAGTCTTCCCTGGGTGCTCTGTGTGGGCACCTGTTGACAAAACCAGCACAGGAACGTTGGATCTTCGGCTTCCTCCATTTTCTTCTGGAAAATGTGGGTCCCCTTGGGTTTAGTAGGAGAGCGTGTGAACTCCTGACACACCTGGCTTTCTTTCCTGAGCCTAGGAAGGAAATGGACACTGAAAGGGACTTTTATCTGCGGTGTTAATTCACAGCAAAAAACATTCCTCTCGTTTGATCTTCTCTTTTGTAACGATGCCTTGCGTTTGTTTTTCCTCTTGTGCGGAAGGTAGTGCCAAACGGATGCCAAAGATACTGATTTTTTTCTTTGGGAAGTATTTTAACGGGACGGTTTTAAATTCCACTTTTCTACTTTTGACTTTGTGAAGCCCTGTTGAAGATGAAGGGGACAGATAGGAGGCAAAGGAGATAGCCAGCCTCTTCGAAGAGTTGCCAAGAATCTCCCACAATCCTCTGGAGCCTGTAACTGGTGAAGAGACACAGTCCCTGTTTTGTGGAATGGCAGTGCATAGAAATTCCCATTTTGAGATGTACAAAACCCGATTTTTAACTTGTAATTTAATCAGCAAGAAGGTTTTGGTGCTGTACTTTGGTTTGGCTGAGAGCTGCCAGCTGCATCCACAACTTTCCCATCTCAGGCATAACTGTTGAAGGTGGTAGGGCTATCCCCCCCCCACCGCCCCCTGTGATATTTAACCCTTATCAGGATTTTTGCAAGCACAGCTGGGCGAAATACTCACCCCACCTTCCTGGAGCCATTTATCAGCTGCTAAAGAAGGAGGACTTTTTAAAGGTCTTATACTTTTCAAGGGTGGCATCCTGTCTTTAAAATGCAATATGGACAAAGATTCCCTCCCCTTCCTTTTACAAAAACAAAGCCCCCAAATTGAAACAAGCTGGCCAACCACTGCAAGCGGGCCATGCACATTTCTGGGACAGACTGCCCAGCCACTCAGCCTCAAAGATGCTCTGTCTTCTGCCTTCCTTCTAAGAATTCTCCTGGGAACATTGCTTGTGACCCATGGGAATCCTGACCCACTGACAAGCAGAGCATCCCACCTGTTCCCTTTAGGATATCCTTCATCTGGTTCAGAAGGTCCTTTCTTTGAGCCAGCTACCTGATTTGCAGCAGTAATCACGAGCAATCCCTAAAAGTCTCCGTGAAGCAGATGAGTGGATAAAGGGATGACTTTGAGGTTAGGGACTTTCCTCTAAAGTAGGATTGCTGCAAGACGGAGCCCTTCCCTTTATTTTTGTCTGTTGGCAAGTTTTTAAAACGCCACTCCTTTTTACAGTGTGCGTGTGTATAATATATGTGTCTGCATATAAATTATTTTATTGCAATAAAAGTTTCCACATTTTCCCCCTGTGGCTTGTTCAGTTTCCTGAGGCTTCCCACTCACAAGAAAGCCGAAAGGTTTGCCCATGTTTAGGCTGTATTCTGTATCCCCGATACTTTCCTTAATTCTTCATTTCTGCATTATGTTTGAGTTTTCACATGACATAAAAGCTGCTTTCAGAAACGTAGTGATTGTTTCCGTGTTGTTTACAAAAGGATTTTTCCTGGAAGCAAAAAAATAACAAACAAAAAATTGAGCACCAAACTTAAGCTATAGTCTGTTATATTTCCAGAACTGGCTTTTTTACTCTGTGCGAAAGCTCGGATATAATGTTAGGAAAACATCAAGGAAATTGAACAAATTGCTACATAAATTCATAGAAGAGAGGGCTATTGATGGCTACTAGCCACAATGGCTATGCTCTGCCTCCACAATTTGAGGCAGTGATGCTTCTGAATACCAGTTGCTGCATGAGGGACACCTCATTAGAAGACTCCCTGGAAAAGACCCTGATGTTGGGAAAGATGGAGGGCACAAGGAGAAGGGGATGACAGAGGACAGTGTTCTCGAAGCTACCAGCATGAGTTTGACCAAACTGTGGGAGGCAGTGTAAGACAGAAGTGCCTAGTGTGCTCTGGTCCATGGGGTCACGAAGAGTCGGACACGACTAAACAACAACAACCGGAGGGGAGATCTGCTCCACAAGCAGGTCCTGCTTGTGGGTTTCCCACGGGCACCTGGTTGGCCACTGTGAGAACAAGTTAAAAAAGAAGAAAGTAAAGGACCCCTGGACAGTTAAGTCCAGTCAAAGGCGACTGTGGGGTTGCGGCGCTCATCTCGCTTTCAGGCCGAGGGAGCAGGCGTTTGTCCACAGGCAGCTTTCCAGTTCATGTGGCCAGCATGACTAAACCGCCGCAGTGGTACCTATTTATCTACTTGCCCCGGTGTGCTTTCGAACTGCTAGGTTGGAAGGAGCTGGGACAGAGCAATGGGAGCTCGCAGGGATTCGAACCGCCGACCTTCTGATTGGCAAGCCCAAGAGGCTCAGTGGTTTAGACCACAGCGCCACCTGCGTCCTTGTGAGACCAGGATGTTGGACTAGATGCGGTCATTGTCCTGATCCAGCAGGCTTGTCAAAGGTTCTTAGGTTCATAATGCAGCCTTCGCTGCTCCAAATGAAACAGCCAGAAGCAAAATGTTGGTAAGTGGTTTCTGGGAAGAGCAGATGAAAGGGCAAGTTTGGCTGGGAGGAAACCATCACACAAGACCAGGGGAGCAGCCGGGACTTTTAGCGCTGACTAGTTGCAACCTAAAAATGCCCCCTTTTGATTTTTGTAAGTTGGAAAGAGGAAGTAGTATTTATTATTGTTGTTATTATTAATTAAATTTCTATACCGTTCTTCCAAGGATCACAGGGTGGTTTCCAATTTAAAAACATCAAAATACATGCCTGTCAGGGAACTGCCATCAGTGCCCGAGGGAGAGAGCAAGCTCCAGAGGGATCCCAGAGAGCGTCCCGGGATTGGGAGAGGCAGCCCATCTTCTGGGGAAGGGAATCAGCTTAGCTCCAGTGGAGAAGGGGGGCAGATGGGGGAATCAGAGAGGTGGTCACATGACTCCTTGCCGGGGACCAGCGGGGAGAGGAAGGGTCCTCCGCTGCCTACGCCCTCCTTGCGCAGAAGGCTTCCGCGCAGGGAGAGTAGGAGGAGACTAGGCGTCAAAGAGCTTCTTTGCTGGAAGAAGTTTAAGAAACGCCCACTGACGGATTCTGCCAGCGATTGAGGCAGCCACGGGTGAGTGGCTGTCCGGACAGGAAAGGTTCACTCAGGCAACCCAGCCAGGTGTTGGCACAGGCTTACGCACGAGCAACCCCTAGAACCATTACAATGCCACTGTAACAAACAAAAGCAATACACCCCCGGAATATAGTGGAAGGAACAGGCAGTGGATTGTACAAAAGTGGTGAGGAAGAAGAACAGGGTGAAAGGGCTGTGCACTCTGATTCCATGGAAATCCAGAACAGCAAAATCCAGAAGATCTTCCAATCCCCTGCTCCATTAAACCAACCCCCAAATTTCTAGTGAAAGTGCGTTTGAAAGAGCACAGGTTAGTGAAAGGGCAAAGGGTGATGAAAGAATGGTTGCTGACCGTGCTCAGAGAGGGGGAGCTGCAGTCCTACTCAGACCTTTGGCTGCCTGACTCAAAGCAACTACAGTTGTACCTCAGAAGTCCAACTTCCAAAGCATTCAGAAGCCAAGCTCCTGCAGCCAATCGGAAGCCGTGGAAGCCGCGTCGGACGTTCGGGTTCCAAAGAACGTTCTCAAAAAGGATCACTCACTTCCAGGTTTGTGGCATTCGGGAGCCAAAACGTTCAACTCGCAAGGCGTTCGGCTTCCGAGGTACGACTGTATTTGAAGTTTGGTGAATTCTGCAGAAAAAAGAAAAAATTACAGCGTATGGGTTGCAAAAGTATGAGAAATTGGGCAGAGTCCCTCAGTTTGTTTGATTAGTGCAGACTGCAAGACAGCAATACCTCAAGGACCGCCTCTTCCCATATGAACATACCTGGATACTGAGATCATCCTTTGAGGCCCATCTTTGTGTGCCTCCTCCACGAGATGTCCAGAGGGTATCAACATGAGAACAAGCCTTTTCTGCAATGGCTCCCCGTTTTTGGAATGCTCTCCCCAGGGAGGTTTGGCTGGTGCCTTCATTATACACTTTTAGGCGCCAGGCAAAAACATTCCTCTTTAACCAGGCCTTTGGCTGATTGACATCCAATGCTCTTTTAAATGTGTTGTGGAAAGGGGGGATTACTGGTTTGTTTCTGTTCTTATTTTTATTATGTATTATATACTTTGTGTTTTTATATCGTGATTTTATGCTGTGCAAGTAGATAAATAGGGACCGCTTACTAGCGGGAAGGTAAACGGCGTTCCGTGTGCGGCTCTGGCTCGCCAGATGCAGCTTGTCACGCTGGCCACGTGACCCGGAAGTGTCTGCGGACAGCGCTGGCCCCCGGCCTCTTGAGTGAGATGGGTGCACAACCCTAGAGTCTGTCAAGACTGGCCCGTACGGGCAGGGGTACCTTTACCTTTACCTTTACCTTTTATGCTGTGAACTGCCCTAAAATCTATGGGTAGAGGGCGGCATACAAATTTTAATAATAATAATAATAATAAATATTATTTATTGCATTTATATCCTAACTTTCCCCTCCAAGGAAATTTAACCCCCACAACAACCCTGTGAGGTAGGTTGGGCAGAGGAGACAGTGACCGGCCCAAGGTCAACCAGTGAGCTTCATGGCAGAGTCAGGATCTGAACCCTGGTCTCCCAGGTCCTAGTCCAGCACTCTAACCACTACACCACACTGCCGAATTCTTGCTTTCCTGCAGAAAAAAGTAGAATTGCAGAGTACGGGATGCGAAAAATGTGAGAAATTGTGCAGAGTCCCTTGGTTGCCGAATTTGGCCCCAGCCCTAACACTCAATGCAAAATTTGGATTGCTTGGTGTAAAAAATGCCCCATGTTGTCTTTTGCGTGTTTTAAAGTGAAATTCACAAGCTTGAAAGTGACGAGAAGCGTTTGGAGAAGTTGGGGACTGATCCAGGATTGACTGTCAACTTTGATCCAGCAGGGCTCTTCGTGTGCCCTGGACTTTATTCCAGCAGCTGGGAATGAGCCAGACGCATGATGGACGAGGGGACAGAGTGATGGGGAAGGTCTAGCGTGAAAAGGAGAGAGTTTGTAACTCTGTACAGTCAACAAGCTGCCATCCTTGGCATCTGGGCTCTGCTTCTGACAAAGGCCTCCGGACAACGCCAGCCCTACTTGGCTGACCCTTCTGCTGACGCACTTCGAGGATTTCATGTTCCTGTGCTCTAGGGGAGGTGGCTGGGGTAAATTTCTGACTGCACGCACTTAGGGGGCTGCTTCTTCCTGCTTCCCACTTTGTGTGTCAATAGCGAAGCAATACGCACCACCCTCGGTCTGAGTGAAAGGGCCAAACTTACACTGAAATCAAACCATTGCTCAGTGTGTGTCCTGCACTGACCGGCAGCATCTCTCCAGGGTTTCAACATTCCTACCTGGAGATGCGAAGCTCAACTGCTGATATACAACCCTTCCCCCAACAGGCAGATTTGTGTGTGTGCCACAGTTCTGAAGGGACCCAGAATGTGGCATTGGGGCAGAAACAAAATTTAAAAAATTCCTTCCAGTAGCACCTTGGAGACCAACCAAGTTAGTTATTGTCAGCTTTCGTGTGCATGCACACTTCTTCAAATACAATGGTTAGAGCGTGAGCCTAGGAATGAAAGAAACCCAGGTCTAAACCCCTATTCACTGAGTGACCTTTCATGTGCAGGCACACAAAAGCTCATACCAATAACTTAGTTGGTCTCTAAGGTGCTACTGGAAGTTTCGACTATGGCAGACCTACCTGTAACTAGAGCATTGGGGCAGGAAATTCTCGTGACAATCTTCCATGTTTGATAGAAATCCCAAGTTCCTAGCCCTTATGGTGGGAAACACCTGCTGAAATCTCCAGAGTCGGAGAGATGGTTGAATGAACTCTGTGCCTCATGCTGCTGTTGCCTCTCTCCATAATTAGCAGCAACGGAAAATAAAATAAATAAATAAATAAATTGTGCATTTGTTCCTCAGAACAACCCTGTGAGGTGGGCCAGGCTGTGTGTGTGTGTGTGTGTGTGTGTGTGAGAGAGAGAGAGAGAGAGAGAGAGAGAGAGACTCATCCCAGGTCACTCAGTGAATAGGGATTTAGACTTGGGTTTCTTTCATTCCTAGGCTCACGCTCTAACCATTGTACCACACTGTTTAGTTTTGCCTCCCCTGCCTCCCACGATTTCTTCTCCCCAATGCTGCTGTTTGGTATTTCATGGAAACTGGAAAGGACATATTGCTGTTGGGGGCTCTGGGTGTCAGGCTTTGGCCAGATTCCTCTTTGGGGACGTCACAAAGCAGAAGGGGTGTGAGCAGGATTGAGGTAGTTGTGTCGCAA